GTTGGGGAACTTCTTCACCCTCCTGAGGTGGAGGAGACCTTCGACGACCCGAAAACTCGGTGCTGCGAATTTGCGCAGCACTTTGCAGACAAAGTTGCTCAGATACGTCTTGAGCTGGACTCCAGTTTGATCGCAGTTCCAAGAGAGGTGACTGAGGCATCTGCTTGTCCAGTTTTGTGGGATTCCTTCTGGCTTGTTCGTCCTGAGGACATGGAGGTGGCCCTTGGGACAGTGAGGGCGACCACTGCTCGTCCTGGCTAATTAAATCAGCCAGGGATGGTTTGATTGAGTGGGTTATGCTGATCATTAATGTATCGTTGGAGCAAGAAATTTTTCCATATGGCTTAAAACAGGCTGTGGTCAGACCACTCCTGAAAAAGACCTCCCTTGACTCCACGGTCTTGAATAACTATAGACCAATCTCAAACCTCCCTTTTCTGGGCAAGGTGTTGGAGCGGGTGGTCGCTGCTCAGCTCCAGGGCTTCCTGTATGACATCAACTATCTGGATCAGGCACAGTCTGGCTTCAGGCCTGGTCATGGCACCGAGACAGCCTTGGTCGCCTTGGTGGATGACCTCCGTAGAGGACTGGACAGGGGGAGTGTGACCCTGCTGGTCCTCTTGGACATCTCAGCGGCTTTCGATACCATCGATCATGGTATCCTTCTGGGTCGGCTCTCTGGGATGGGTCTTGGGGGCACGGTTCTGTCGTGGCTCCGGTCCTTCCTGGAGGGACGAACCCAGATGGTGAAGCTGGGAGATGCCTGCTCGGACCCCTGGCCTTTGACCTGTGGGGTCCCGCAAGGCTCTATTTTGTCTCCCATGCTTTTTAAGTGCCCATGAGAGAAGCAATTGCTTTCTAAATTCAAACCACACACTTGCAAAGATTTATTATTTATTTATTTTATTTATTTGGGGTTCTTTTACCCCGCCCTTCTCACCTCGAAGGGGACTTAGGGCGGCTTACAAAAGCAAGGCACAATTTGATGCCTGCATCATAAAAACAATCAAACACAAAATTACATCAATACACAGTTAACACCAAATATACATTATAACCATAAAATCAATAAAACCAAATACAAACCCAGTTTCTCCTCTTACATGGTCAGCGTTCGCTACTCATAGATCTAGTTTTACGTTCCACTTCATCAATCCTGCTGGTCTTACTCACCTGATTGTCTTTAATTGCCTGATTGCCCGAAGGCCTGGTCCCACAACCACGTCTTCACCCTCCTCCTGAAGGAGAGGAGGGATGATGATGCCCTGATTTCCCCCGGGAGTGAGTTCCACAGGTGAGGGGCTACCACTGAGAAAGCCCTGCTCCTCGTCCCCACCAGCCTCACTTGTGAGAGTGGTGGGGTCGAGAGCAGGGCCTCCCCAGATGATCTTAGATTTCGGGGTGGGACGTAGAGGGAGATACGTTCGGACAGATACACTGGACCGGAACCGTACAGGGTTTTGTAGGTCAAAACCAGCACCTTGAATTGTGGCTCGGAACTGAACCGGCAGCCAGTGGAGCTGACACAGCAGAGGGGTGGTGTGCTCTCTGTATGTCGCCCCGGTGAGCAGTCTGGCTGCCGCTCGCTGGACTAGTTGAAGTTTCCGAACAGTCTTCAAGGGCAACCCCACGTAGAGCGCGTTGCAGTAGTCTATTCGGGATGTAACAAGAGCATGGACCACCGTGGCCAGATCAGACTTCCCGAGGTACAGGCGCAACTGGTGCACAAGTTTTAATTGCGCAAAAGCTCTCCCGGCCACCGCCGAGACCTGGGGTTCCAGGCTCAGCGATGAGTCCAGGATCACTCCCAAGCTGCGAACCTGCGTCTTCAGGGGGAGTATAACCCCATCTAACACAGGCTGTAACCCTATGCCCTGTTCGGCCTTTCGACTGACCAGTAGGACCTCTGTCTTGTCTGGATTCAATTTCAATTTGTTAGCTCTCATCCAGTCCGACACAGCAGCCAAGCACCGGTTCAAGGTCTGGACAGCCTCCTTGGTGACAGGTGAGAAGGAGTGACAGATCTGGACATCATCTGCATAGAGATAACATCTCAGTCCGAAACTCCGAATGATCTCTCCCAGCGGCTTCATGTAGATGTTAAATAACACATCGGGGACAGAATTGATCCCTGAGGGACTCCACATGACAATCTGCTGCCACTACTAGGATCAGTTATCTCAGGGACAATCTGTGCCACTCTAGGATCAGTTGTGATTGGGCTGACAGTGTCCAGAAAGTTCATGGTAGCTTTAAAGCTCATTTTGACATGATGTCTGTTTTTATAACTGGGTTAAGAAATGCTGAAGCCCTACATTGTGAAATATGCAAGAAACCCCAAATCATTATAAAAATATATCATGTGTGTGTGTGTGTGTGTATTGAAGCTGTGATTCTCCATTTTAAGTTGTCCAATCTAAAATCTTAAAAATTGAGACTTTTATCTGGTATTTTGCATAAGTTATGTTAACAAATTACAAGCTGCTTTAGCTCAGGAAATATGTACCTCAGCGAAGACCTGGCAAGCTATATATTGCCAAAATACAAGTTGAAAATTGTTATCCAAACAGAATTATGTTAACATAAACCATGTAAATACACTGCATATAAACCACACAAAGAAATTACAAGTCTGAGTACTACTTGGTTATCCCGTAGTCCTTGAGAAAGTAAACTGTCTTCAAAATACAGTCCAAATAAAGTCCAAATAGTTCAAATTGCTGTCCAGTTCAAAATATTATCCATGCAACAAGGATCCCCGGGTTGAGGTTGCCTTGTTTCAGGGGACTTCCCTTCTTCAGGATTTCGTCTTCTTTATAAAAATGGGTGATTCACCATACATCCTAAATGGGGGATAACAAACAACATAATAGATAGGCACCCAAACCAAACATTCAGTGATAATGACATGCATTCCAGTTAGAAAGACTACACACACGTTATTACTCACATTATTAATGAGACGACGCTGGCCCTACAGTTTGGTTTTCGATAGTGAGCAATGCAATTACACAGAAGCAAGGATTTAAAGACAAGGCTAGTTACAGACAGTCAGCTGGAATGTAAATTACAAGTAGATAAGGTAGACAACAGGGCTTATTACAAAAAGCAGCTGAGGTCCAGTCTATCGTTAAGGCCAGTAGGAAACACTGTGTTTAACTTAAAAATCCAAAATGCTTCCCTTTGCAAAAGATAATTCTTAGTATCCATATATGGCTTAGTGTGGATTTTTTCTATAATGCAAAACTTGAAGCTGGTAGATGTATATCCTTTCTCCAGAAAATGAGAATAAAGAGTACTATCATTGTGTTTGTTTTTTATGCGTGAACAATATTCCATGATTCTGACCTTGACAGATCTACTTGTCATGCCAACATAATGAAGGTCACATGAGCATAAAATATTATATATATATACACACACACACATATAGCATTTTCCGAGGAGCAGGTAGTAAAATTATTTAAGGGTATAGTAATCTTCGTGGTTGGGTGTGTGAATTGTTGAGTCTTCAAGGATTGGGAGCAATATTCACAGTGTCCACAGTAAGTATGTCCTCTAAGGCTAGGTAGACTTTTTATGGTAGGTTTAGTGAGATCTGATCTTATCAACATGTCCTTTAAATTTTTTGTCCATTTGTATGCTATCATCAGTATATTTTGGTAACCTGGAATGTCCTTGATAATGTGCCAGTGTTTCTTGATTATCTTGAAATGACATACCACTAATCTGCAAATTGTCAAATAGGAATGTCAAATCTTCAATATATTTGGAGCAGTTTCTTATTTTCTATCTTGAGCTTGATTAATTGTCTTAAGTAAGCAGCTTGACTTCTTAAACTTCTATGTCCAAAATGATTGTCCAGTTCTTCCATCGTTTGCTTAGCTGTTGTACAGTGCTGTACTAAACTCATTTGTCTACCAGACAACTCTAATGCTATAATGCTTTGTGCTTCATTGTCTATATCTTGTCATTCTATTTGAGCATTTTCATCTTCTGGTTTATCTTCAAAACATTTAAATAATTTATTTGCTTTTAAACAGATAAGCATCTCTGTTTTCCAGACTGAAAAAATACTGTCTGTCAGCTGTAAATTCAGTCTTTTAAATTCTCTTGCAATCTTTGCAATTACTGTATCTGTAAAATGTTCTGTTTCTACTAACTTTTAAAAGCATACTGTTTCTAAAAAGAAGTCTGAGTCTGAACAGTCCCAGATCTGGTCACATGGTCTGCATCCCCTCCCACAACATAGAGGTAAAGGTAAAGGTTTTCCTTTGACATTAAACTGAGTCGTGTCCAACTCCAGGGGAGCTTTTGCACAGTTAAAACTAGTGTGCCAGCTGTGCCCATACCTTGGGAAGTCTGATCTGGTCACGGTGGTCCACTCTCTTGTTATATCCCGAATAGATTACTGCAATGCACTCTACATGGGGCTGACTTTGAAGACTGTTCGGAAACTTCAACTAGTCCATTGGGTGGCAGCCAGATTACTCACTGGAGCGACTTACGGGGAGCATACTATAATAACTTAGAAGAGCCGTCTGGGCAGGGGGTCAAGGAATCCCACCGCTGTCCTTCCTTCAATAAGGAATTCACAAGCCTTTGGTTCTGATAGTGCTTGAGGGGATGTCACGTTGTGTAAAACCTTCGCTGCCACCATAAAATAAAGAAACACGAACTCTCTAGCTATTTAGAATGATAAAATGCTGTTTACATTAATAAAAGGCTTTTTTACTCCACCAAAGGCTGTGTACTATCAAGGGCTTTCTTTTGAGAGGAAAACAGAAGAGGTTGATTCAATAAGGAAAGGGACTCAAAACCAAAAATAGCACTTGACTCAGGCTTCAATTTTAAAAAGAACAAGAAAGAGTTTATTGATTACAAATTACAGAATTATAAGAGAATGCAGGTTCAGAGGCTTGGTGGTTACAATAAAAGTGTTCTTAATTCTTAGAAGCGTAATGGTTACTTGAGAGAATGTTCTTTCCTTTGTTACAAGTTTCTTAAACACAAAACCCAGCTATTTTCTTTTCTAAAATAGCTGTAACTCAGTCTGCCACAGCCTACTGTGCTGTGCAAACTACAGGCAAGCTGCCTATTCTAAACAGAGACTCCTACAAATCCAAAKCCTTCTCTAACCTCTCTCAAAACTGAACTGCTCTCTACTCTACTCAGAACTGATCTAAACTGAAACTGAACTGATCAAATTAAGCTGTTCTCTTTCCCTCCATCTGGCTAACTCCGCCCCTCTTTCCTAAACCAATCCTGGCTGTTGCTGGGCTGGCTCAGACCTCGGCCACTCCCCCTTTCTGAACTGGAGCTTTTCCCTAAACTAAGATGGCTCCAGCAGCTCTCTGCCAGGCCCTGTAAGCTGACACTACCTAGCCTGACTCTTGCTGGGCCCTGCCACCCTGGCTGGCAAGGTAAGGGATCTTTACACATACCACCCCCGTTGTGTCAGCTCCACTGGCTGCCGTTCCACTTCCAAGCAGAATTTAAAGTTGTAGTCTTTAAAGTTGTCCTATAAACTATACTGTTCCAGCCCAGCTTACCTGTCCGAACGTATCTCCCTCTATGACCTGCCTCACAGTTTAAGATCATCCAGGAAGGTCCTGCCCTTGGTCCCGCCAGCTTCGCAAATGCATTTGGCAAGGATGAGGGACAAGAGCATCTCAGTGGTGGTCCCCAACCTGTGGAACTCACTGCCCAGTGAGATTAGGTCAGCTTTGTCCCTCCTTTCTTTTAGGAAGAAGCTTAAATCATGGTTTTGGGACCAGGCTTTAGGATAGCAGGCCTGACAGCACTTTGGATGTTGAATCGGACTGGAAATGTTTATATGGTTTGATAATAATGTTTTAATTTGTTTTAAATTAATGTTTATCTATTGTTTTAAATGTTTGTTATATTTGTTTGTATGTTGCGGCATCAAATTGTGTCGGTTGTAAGCCGCCATGAGTCCCCCCTCGGGGGTTGAGAAGTACAGAGTAGAAATGTTGTAAATACTAATAATAATAATTGTTAAACTTCAACGAACTGTAACTGGGTTGTGTGTTTTCCAGTGGATGGGAAAATTGCTGCACAATCTTTATCCTGTCTCTATATGGTGACGGCCGACAGGGAGCTCTGGCGTGGGCTGGTCCATGAGGTCACGAAGAGTCAGAGATGACTGAACGAATGAACAACAACATATGAAAAAAAGCCTTGTTCAGGCTGCATGAGCAGACTTGCTACATATCCAATTTCGTCTTATTCCACATAATGTTGAAGTGGCCTTTTCATCATTCAAGTAGGCACAGGGTCCATCAGCTCCAATCGCAAACCTGCAATGAGAAGACAAGACTGGTGAAATCCCTATGTTGTGACCTGCACAAATGGTCTCATTTACCCTGGGTTAAAAAATAGCTACCTATATGGGGAACTGGTTATGCAAGATCTATCAATTTCTTAAAATGGAAGTGCTGAAAGTCTGTCCACTAGAGTTATTTGCTATATCCCATGCACCATTCACTGATGTGTGTGTGTTGACTTTGGAAGACACCTGTGCGTGGGTTTTTTTAATGTGTAGAGGTCAGTGCACAACTGATCAACACACAGTCTTCACAGAGTGAGGTTCCACTGGTGGTGTAGTTTAACACAATGACCGTGGCTTCTCAATCTGTTGCAGCCTTCTTCTGCCTTCACAGCCGTTGTAACATGTACCATGTTATCCTCCGCCTGTTCCGCCGTTGAGGTTTTTGGGTCTTCGGACTGTGCTTGGTCCGGAACCTCCCCCGCGGCCACTCCTGGGAGTGCACCACTCCAGTGGTTGTGCCTACAGGTTCATCGGAACACGCAAGCCCCCTCACCGCGACAAGGTGACAGTCCATCAAGGGGGTCAACATCGACACCGAAATACAACACCGCCTGAGCTCTGCGAGTGCAGCATTTTCCCGAATGAAGGGAACATCCATAGGGATACCAAGGTGCTTGTCTATAAAGCTATTGTCCTCCCAACCCTGCTATATGCCTGCGAAACGTGGACTGTCTACAGACGTCTCATGCAACTCCTGGAACAATTCCATCAGCGCTGCCTCTGGAAAATCCTGCAAATCTCTTGGGAAGACAGGCGGACAAATATCAGCGTGCTGGAAGAAGCAAAGACTACCAGCATTGAAGCAATGATCCTCTGCCATCAACTCTGCTGGGTCGGCCACGTTGTCCGGATGCCTGACCACCGTCTCCCAAAGCAGTTGCTCTACTCTGAACTTAAGAACGGAAAATGGAACGTTGGTGGGCAGGAAAAGAGATTTAAAGATGGCCTCAAAGCCAACCTTAAAATCTCTGGCATAGACACTGAGAACTGGGAAGCCCTGGCCCTTGAGCACTCCAGCTGGAGGTCAGCTGTGACCAGCAGTGCTGCAGAATTCGAAGAGGCACGAGTGGAGGGTGAAAGAGAGAAACGTGCCAGAAGGAAGGCGTGCCAAGTCAACCCCGACCGGGACCGCCTTCCACCTGGAAACCAATGCCCTCACTGTGGGAGAAGATGCGAATCAAGAATAGGGCTCCACAGCCACCTATAAATCCACAAGGAAACCCATCATGGAAGACCATCTTACTTGTCCAACGAGGGATCGCCTAAGTAAGTAAGTAAAGTAAGTGTATGTGTGTGTGTTTTAGCTTTGCATAATCTTATTTACACTTAATTTAATAATAATAATAATAATAATAATAATAATAATAATAATAATCTTTATTTATACCCCGCCACCATTTCCCCAGTGGGGACTTGGAGTGGCTTACGTGGGGCCAACATATTACAGCAAAATAAAATCAAAGCATAAACAGCAACATCATCAAAATTACATAAAAGGGGAAAAAAACAATAAACGCAGTCATAAAATAACATTCCAATAAACATGATAACGATAACAATGGGCGGGCCACATATACAGGATAAAACAATTAAAAGACTGTAATGAGGTAAAATAGGAGCAGGATATTTGCAGAGAACTCATAAAAACACATAGAGTTATGAAGCTAAACTTCCCATTTGGAGGGTGTGTACTCCAGTAGCAAAAACGTTGAGAGGTGTAATAATGTCGTGCTCATCGAAGGCGCAGTGGAAGAGCCAGGTTTTAAGGTTGTTTTTTTTTTAATGTTTTTAGTGAAGGGGCTTTCCTGATCTCTCCAGGTAATGAGTTCCAAAGTCGGGGAGCCACAGAGGAGAAGGCTCTCTCCCTTGTGCCCACAAGATGAGCTTGTGAGACAGGTAGGAATGAAAGGAGAACCTCCCCTGAAGATCAAAGGGCCCGGGTTGGTACGTGGAGAGAGATGCGGTTACGAAGGTAGGCGGGTCCCAAACTGTTTAGGGCTTTGTAGGTGATAACCTGTACCTTGAATTGGGACTGGAAAATAAACGGCTTCCAGTGGAGCTCCTTAAACATGGGAGTCAACCGCTCCCTATAACTAGCCCCAGTTATTAATCTGGCTGCCGAACGTTGGACAAGTTGTAGTTTCCGGGCCATCTTCAAGGGTAGCCCCACGTAGAGTGCACTGCAGTAATCCAGTCTAGAGGTAAGTAAGGCATGGACCACCATGGTCAAGTCAGACTTCACGAGGTATGGTCGCAGCTGACGCACAAGTTTTAACTGTGCGAAGGTCCTACCGGCCACCAGCGACACCTGCGCATCAAGCATCAGCGCTGAGCCCAGGAGGACCCCCAAGCTGTGGACCTATGACTTCAGGGGGAGTGCAACCCCGTCCAGCACAGGTTGCCACCCAATACCCGATCAGGCGGGTGACTGACCTGGAGGACCTCCGTCTTGTCAGGATTGATCCTCAGCTTGTTTGTCTTCATCCAGATCGTCACAGCAGTCAGGCACTGGTCCAGTATTGGAGGGGCTTCCTTGGAATCTGGTGGAAAAGAGTAGAGGAGTTGGGTGTCATCTGCGTAGAGATGGCACCGTACTCCAAAACTTCAGATGACCTCTCCCAGCGGTTTCATGTAGATGTTAAATAGCATGGGAGACAGAATAGAACCTTGCAGGACCCCACAGGCCAATGGCCAGGGGTCCGAGCAGGAGTCCTCCAGCTTCACCAACTGGGAATGACCCTCCAGGAAGGACCGGAGCCACAGTAGAACTATGCCCCCGAGGCTTCCCAGTAGGATACCATGGTCAATGGTATCGAAAGCAGCTGAGATATCCAAGAGAACCAGCAGGGTCACACTCCCCCTGTCCAGTTCCCTGCGGAGGCCATCCACCAAGGTGACCAGACTCAGTACTGTGCCCAGGTCTGAAGCCAGACTGTGAACAATCCAGCAAATCGGTGTCATCGAGGAATCTCTGAAGCTGCAAGGCAACCATCTGCTCTAGAACCTTGCCCAGAAAGGGGAGGTTGCAAATTGGTCTGCAAAATTTGCCTGCAAAATGGTGCGCAAAATCGCTGCACCGAGTTGCTGAGTCGTTGTTCCGGGTGGTTGGGGAGCTCCTACGTCCCCCTGAGGTTGGGGAGCTTCCTGATGACTCGGCAACACGGTGCAGCGATTTCGCGCACCATTTTGCAGGCAAAGTTGCTCAGATACACCTTGAGCTGGACTCCAGCTTAAATGCAGTTCCAGATGAGGTAACTGAGGCACCTGTCTGTTCAATCTTATGGGATTCTTTCCACCTTGTTCAACCTGATGACGTGGAGGGGATCCTTGGGACTGTGAGGGCGACCACTTGCGCTCTGGATCCTTGTCCGTCCTGGCTAGTTAAACTGGCCAAAGAGGGTTGTTGGAATGGTTTGTTACAATAATAAATGCTTCACTGGGTCAGGGAAAATTCCCATCCTGCCTTAAGCAGGCGGTGGTAAAACCTCTGCTAAAGAAATCTTCCCTTGACCCGACGATATGTAACAACTACAGACCAATTTCCAACCTCCCCTTCTTGGGCAAGGTTCTGGAGCGGGTGGTTGCGTCGCAGCTTCAGGGATTCCTTGATGACACTGATTATCTGGATCGCTCGCAGTCTGGCTTTAGGCCTAGGCACAGTACTGAGACGGCTTTGGTCGCCTTGGTGGATGACCTCCGCAGAGAACGGGACAGGGGGAGTGTGACCCTGCTGGTTCTCTTGGATATCTCAGTGGCTTTCAATACCATCGACAAATGTATCCTTCTGGGGAGGCTCGCTGGGATGGGACTCGGGGGCACGGTTCTGCTGTAGCTCCGGTCCTTTCTGGAGGGTCATTCCCAGTTGGTGAAGCTGGGGGACTCCTGTTCGGACCCCTGACCATTGACCTGTGGGGTCCTGCAAGATTCCATTTTGTCCCCCATGCTTTTCAACATCTACATGAAACCGCTGGGAGAAGTCATCCAGAGTTTTGGAGTATGGTGCCACCTCTACGCAGATGACATCCAACTCCACTACTCTTCTCCACCAGATTCCAAGAAAGCCCCTTGGATACTGGACCAATGCCTAGCTGCTGTGGAGACCTGGATGAGGAAGAACAAGCTGAGGGTCAATCCTGACAAGACAGAGGTCCACAGTTTGGGGGTCCTCCTGGACTCAGCGCCAACGCTTGATGCGCAGGTGTCAGCGGTGGCCAGGAGGGCCTTCACACAACTAAAACTCGTGCGCCAACTGCGACCTTACCTTGTGAAGTCTGACTTGACCATTGTGGGTCATACCTTAATTACCTCTAGAATGGATTACTGTAATGCTCTCTACGTGGGGCTACCCTTGAAGACAGCCCGGAAATTACAACTTGTCCAACGGCCCGGAAATTACAACTTGTCCAACATTCGGCAGCCAGATTACTAACTGGGAAGTTTGACTCCACAACCCCTGCCATTATGAGTACTACTCCGCATATTATCTGCTTCTCTCTTTTATCTTGTCTGAATTTTTAATTAGTTTTAATTAGTTGTTTTAATAATTACATGTAGCCCACCCATTGTCTCTGTGCCTGTGTCTATTGTAACTTTTATATTGTTATGTATTTATATGCTTTATGTAATTATGATGTTGTTTATTGTTTGTGTTTTCAGTTGTGTTTTGGTTTTTCTTTATTGCAATTGTTGTTTTGGCTTGGCCCCATGTAAGCCGCTCCAAGTCCCCATCGGGGAGATGGTTGCAGGGTACAAATAAAGATGATGATGATGATGATGATGATGATGATGATGATGATTAATGTAACAATGCTTTTATCTGCACTTTCTCCTTTTATACATTCTTCTCTTTAATAACGTTTTCTTGATTTTAATATTAACACCCGCCATTCTCACCACCTTTCTCCAGACCACATATTTCCTCTGTATTTTTATCATTCACTGTGCACACATTTTTCTTAGTTTCTGTACAATATTTACATTGGCAGGACAAGCAGTGATAGCACAAGGATGGAAAGATGAAAAAATGGACTATGGAAAATTGGAACATCTACATTTATGATCAGGTCCAATCTGAAATTATAGCATATGTAATCTGGAAGATAAACAGGAGCATAAAACAGGAGAAATAAAAAATAAATGGAAAACCTATTTGAGTTACCAGATCAGAAGTTCTGGGACACTTTAAAATGGGATAAAATAAAGGAATAAAATGTGTTTAAAGCCAACCAATCTCAGTCTCTCTATCTGCTGAAAGCTCTTGATGTCATTCTTGCTTTTCACTTTTCTGTTATGTGTATTAGGTTTCAGTGAGCTTGCTTTAACCCTGGCCTTTGCAACATGAGGTTGGGGACAAGGGAAGAGAAAACATGCAGCATGACATGCCTGAACTGACCTCCGCTGTTTTTTGAAAATGTATTTAATTTGTGTGAGACTCTCTGATAGGGTCTCAAAGCAAAGACTAGCAATTAAAAGCTAGTACAAAAAGACCTGGAAGCAAAGAAAGTCATAAATCTTTCTACTGAAAGCTGCAACTTCAAGGCAAGAGTCTGGAAGAGATGTTGTTATTCAGTCGCTTCCGACTCTTTGTGACCTCACTGACCAGCCCACGCCAGAGCTCCCTTTTGGCCGTCACCGCCCCCAGCTCCTTCAAGGTCAAGCAGTCACTTCAAGGATGCTATCCATCCATCTTGCCCTTGGTTGGCCCCTCTTCCTTTTTCCTTCCATTTTCCCCAGCATCATTGTCTTCTCTAAGCTTTCCTATCTTCTCATGATGTGGCCAAAGAACTCAATCTTTGCCTCTAATATCCTTCCCTCCAATGAGCAGTCGGGCTTTATTTCCCGAAGTATGGAAGAGGTGGTAGTTAGTGGAATCTGAAACTATATATCATGGATTCAGCTAGAGAAACTCAAAAGATAATGACAACCAATGACAAATTAGATTATTTAATGAGCTTAATGAAGGACATGGACTTATCTGTAAAATAAATCATAGATGCAATTTATGACTCCAAAACTAAACTGATAGATCACAGAAAAGAAAATGATTTGGAAAATCTTGGGGTTAGAGAAATAAATTGTCGCTTTGAAATCCAAATTAACAGACCTGGAAAATGGGAACGGATTCCAAAATCTGAGGATTAAAGTGCTGCCAGAGCACATTAAAAACTGTAATTTAATGACATTTTTGACTCAATGCTCATCTGGTTATGGAATACAGCTATTGGAGCATGATTTTGAAAGAGCCCACCAAATCCTTTTAAGAATGCTTGGAAAGGATCTCCTAGAGACATTGTAGTTGCTTTTTCAAGGGAGAGAAAGAAACTCAGTTTACAAAAAGCTAAGAAAAATGTGGGATCTACAATACAAGGATCATAAAGATTATAAAACATTGGTCTACGCTGATCTGGCTAAAAAAAACCGATAAATGAAAGGGAAACCATGCATCCAATTACGAGAAGACTAGCTGCAGCTGGTATAAGATTTATGTAGGGATTCCTGGCAGTAATAACTATTTTCAAAGGCAGAAAAAGTTTGTGGAAGGGGCAGAAATGTTACAACACTTGAATTACTTTTGGACACAGCTGGATATCAGTTGAGTGGAAAAAAGCCAGAGGACGAGAGTCAACAAACTTTGGAAAGAACAGGGGAAGAAAAGTGGGGCCAATAATCCAAAGAGGAATAAAACAAGGAAAAGTTAATCTAATCTAAAAATAGACAAAAATGTTGAAAAATAAGGACTGTTGTGTTGAAATCAGTAAAATATTGCTCAAATGCTAGATAATTCAAGAAATAGTCCAAAATTAAGGGGAAGCATGTAGTGAGGAGAAACTAAGAATCACTCAACTTAAACTGGTTAAGGGGAAAGGATAGGTTGCAATTTGAACTATGTTAAATTTCAGGGGGCATAAGGAGATCTTGAGAGCATGGAAGATAAATTGTAATGTTGGGTCAACATGGAGGGGGCAGAGAGGGACAGGAGATGCCTTACCCTAGGGAGTTATCTGAAAGATGATGAGAAGAAGTTTCTTAGCTGTACCTCTCACAGGAACTGGGGAAGAATTGAATGCCAGAAGGGGAAGGGAGGAAACACTCAAGAATGGGTTAGTTATAGAATTATGAGATTGTGAAGTCCTTAACAAATAAACAAATAAATGTAGATGGCTGAATGAAACATGTCTATAAACATAAATTGCTTGAGCTCACCTGTTAAAAGGCATAAACTATATAAACTGCTAAAAGATAAGTAAATATTGCACTTCTGCAGGAGACACATGAAAGGAGAGATAGGACTAGACTGCTGAATTTTAGAAATTGGGAAAGTTAGCTAGAATGTAGAAGCATAAACAAATTTTGAGGGGCAGCTATATTAATAAAGGATTATTTGAACTTTCAAGGGAAAATAAATGACCTTAAAGTTTCAATAAGAAGTGTTTATGCCCCAAATAAGGAATATATACATTATATCAATAATGCTTTTTAAAAAATTGAATAGCAGGCTTTTGGAGATATAATTATTGGGGGGGGGGGGAGGGCTCAATATAGACCTATTTTTAAAAAATAAGAAGGGAGGGAATTGAGAAATCTAGGAATAGAAAGTAGAACGAATCTTTAAAATGTAACATAAGAGAAATTAATGAAAACAGAAGAAAGAGTAAATGCTTCCACATATTTGTCTCCCAGACACAATAAATTTACCACATTCGACTTTTTTTCCGCTAGGATAACTCAATAAAACTACAAAGAAATTGGCTAGTTGTTTTTTTAAAAAAAGCAAGGAAACAATAGGATTACAAAATTAAAAAATAGTGGATTTAAAGGAAATTATGGCAAGTTGCAATGAAAAAGCTCTATACAAATAAGGAAACTGAAAGATTAGAAGAAATAATGACAAAAAATTGGATCCTCAGACACACTTATCACTGGATAACAATATAACCATTAAGGAGAAAGAAGAGATATGCAAACATCTCAAATCAAACACAACTCCCCTGTTACAACTCCACTGGCTGCCAGTCTGCTTCCAAGCACAATTCAAAGTGCTGGCTTTATTTATTTATTTATTTATTTATTTAGCATATTTGTATCCCACCCTTCTCATCCCCAGAGGGGGACTCAGGGCAGCTTCACAACAGGCATTCACTCAATGCCAACAACAGTAGTAAATGATAAAATCAATTAAAACATTATTTAAATCACACAGGTTTGAAATGATAGTCCAGGTCAGTCCATTCTCATTCACGCAAATTGGGTCTCATTCTAAATTGCCGCCTCACTGTTCGAATGCTTGGTCCCATAACCACATTTTGAGTTTCATTCTAAAGGACAAGAGGGAGGGGGCCAATCTAATGTCACTGGGTAGAGAGTTCCACAGGCGAAGGGCCTATGGCTTTAGCCTATGCAACCCTAAATGGTTCCAGCTCAGCTTACCTGTCCAAACGTATCTCCCTCTATGACCTACTTCAGAGATTAAGATTGCTGGGAGAGGCTCTGCTCTCATTCCCACTTCCCTTGTAAGTGCGGCTGGAGGAACGAGAGACAGAGCCTTCTCAGTAGTGGCCCCTTGCCTATGGAACTCCCTGTTGTCTCCTCACCTGGTGGCAACACTGTTTGCCTGTGATGGAAAAAAATGGCATTTTTTTGTCTCTTGGTTGCCTTTGTTGTTTCCTCCTCCGGTGGAGAAACCACCAAGTCCCTACTGTTCATTTCCATTACTTGTGAAGGAGAAATGAAGCTTCTGTCAGAATGTGTAAATTACATAGCATTTTTTAAAGTGGTAACAGAATCAACGCCTCAGGATTAGGAGAAATTGTGACTAACAAGTTGAATGCAGCTCACCAGGGACAGTTATGAAACTCAGAGGGTCCCCCAGTATCTCTAAAAGAATAATTTATTTTAATTTTATGCTATTGCAAAAATAAATGTACACCCTTTCACCTGACTTCCAATTCCACAAAGGGCCTCTGCTGGGTCTAAACCAGTCAGGGAACTGGGTGGACATAAACACAGCAAGAACAAGAAAAGCACACAAAAAAGCAAATAACTTTTTTCAGGGATGGAAAACTGATGGAAGGTAGTCTAAGCTACTATGGAAATCCATTGCGACCACACAACCTCTTTCAATTGCTCACCTTAGTTTAGATCTGTGATACTAAAGTGTTGCCTAATTTTAGATCAGGGGAAGACATCTGGGGGATGTCTGCCCCCAGCCTTCCAGGATATGTAGAGGGTGGCACCCTACCTGTACCTGCAAAATAAAATAAATAACCTTCTCTCTCCTCCTCCCCAAACAAGGCTCTTTAAGAACCGTGAGTATAACATTTGAGGCCTTATTTACAACAGGAAGTGATAAGTAATTTCCTGTTCACTTCCTATTTCAAGCAAGGCCTTTTCCTTAGAACAAAAACATGGTAGAAATTGTTTTTGTGGAAATGGGTTCTATGTTTTGTAGTTTCATGCTTTTACAGCATTTTGATTGTTTGGTTTTCACCTGTTACCTCCCTTTTAGTGATCTGGAAAACCTTACCAGTTATTGAAGACAGTTCCATTTGCCCATTTCCAGGTCTGCCCTTCCTCTCTCTTCAAGCCAATCCAATATTCAGTTGGTCCTTTAACTTGCATTATGAAGTTCTGCAATTACAAAAATATATCTCAAAGTGCTAAACAGCATGAGTACAGAAATAATTATTACCATATAATATAAATGCTGGTTACCAAGGAAAGAAACCTGCCAAGGAACATGCAGCATGCTCCCAGCTACCAAAGCATTATGAGGGATGCCATCAACTGGAATTTCAAACACTTACTTGGAATATACTCTGAATATACAAAGGCAGACATCCTAATTGCTAAGTATCAAACATTGAATTAATATCTTTTTGGTAGGGGTTCCATATTTAAAACTGCAGAAGGCTTTTCTACACTGAATAATTGTGTAGAAGTAAGAATTTTAGCAGAGGCTGTTTATCACATAATCAGATGACAAGCAACACCTCCTGAAATTTAATTAGCTATGCAGCCATTACAAGTACAGGAGCCTTCTTCAACATTCACTCAGCAGTCCTTAATCCTGGATCACGTCCCTAAATTGGAAGTATGGAAAGAATATTACAAAATCTTCAGGAAATGGTACAAAAACATGTTTTTGAATTGTTCCGAAAATCTGATGAGAAAAACCCTGGGCATTTGGAGTTTGAGACTTATTCTATTCAAAATTCACAAGCAGTTGCTTGTGCAGAAAACATTTTCTGAGCAGAAAATAATATTTCAATGCAGCAATGTTAATTTCTGCATGGAAAATGCTATTTCACGTACAGAAGATGCTTAATTGAGGGTTAATATGTCTATATTTTGGCACAAATATATTGTTTAGAGTACAGAAAATATTGTGAATTTTGCATGTGAATTTTGCATAAGGTGTCTCAAGTTGCTAATAGGCTGCAAAAACTATGTTGTTTTCGAATACTTTCTCAAAGTGGGAATAAAATTATTAAAATTATTCATTGCTTCTTTTGTGAAGAAACATAGTGAGGAATTTCATTTTTTCTGTTATTTTCTACATCTGCTGAAAATCCTTCTCATACACAACCATGACAGATGTTAAGAGCCCTCTTCAGTTTTCACTCTGGCAACGCTAACTGTCCCCATCATGTAATAAACCTCTACCACCATCATGGGTTCAGTTTCACCTTATTGCATTAAGACCCCACAGGTGCTTAGTAGCCCCTAATACTCAAGAGTATTCAATACTTACTACCCAATCTGGAAATCCCTCTTACCATTTCCTTTTCATTTTCAATCACAACCAGAGAAGCAACTGATGCAGAGCAATTACTCTGGCTGGAGTCCCAGGTCTCTTCGGATTCAGAAAAGTAGTAGCACCTGCCTTCATACCCAACCCATGCTGAAGGGCAAGAGAAGACAACTGTTGCTGGGCATGAGCCATATAATGATTTGCTCACCATCACAGCTAAAACAAAGAAAGTAACATGAATTTAGTTCAGGAATGAAGAACTTCAGGCTTAATGCCACTGCTTATTTTTAGTAATACATTATTTAAAAGTCATAAAATTGTTGCATTTACCTAAGCTCTACTCAGTAGGATGGAGAACTGGTTTGAAGAACTCATACTTCTGACTCCATCTACATTGCTTTCCTCCCATCTGATGCTTTTTGCACCTATCCCTCCCACACTCCAGATTATGGAAAGCAGCACGTAGACATACAGCTTTCGAAAAATAGAATTCAGTCCCTGAGTCCAATATGATAAATCTTACTTGAATCTTTGCTTTACTTTTGAATAAGCTAGTTTGCTACTGGAGGATTTCGTATAGTGGGTGCTATCTGGACAGGCATGGTGAGAGTCAGGGACTAGAAGTACCTTCTAACAACTTAGGTATAAAACCTGTGAACATGTCTGAGAAGATGTATCCTGCCCTTGGTTGCTCTTAGATCAAGAGACTTCCAAATTTAACAAAATGTGGTATATGTATATCTATCTGCCCTTGGAAACTGGGACTGAACATAATTGGTCAAAATGTCTGGTTCATGTAATCAGGTTTCTTCTAGATGCAGCAATGCTACTTTTATTAACTCAATTTCAAACCTCTCTTCTGAGGCTAATTCCAGTTCAAGGGATAATATGCACCAGGGAGAAATGTATGATGCGACTCTTATGCAATAAAAATGAAATGCACTGATATAGGATAGGTGACATCTGTCCTGAAGACACTAAATGTAAAAAGAGTCTAGAAGTCTGAGTAGACCACAAGCTGAACCTGAGTCAACAGCGTGACGCAGCAGCTTAAAAAGTCAAGGCAATTTGAGGCTGCATCAATAGCAGTATAGTGTCTAGATCAAGGGAATTAACAGCTCCATTCTTTGTTGCTTTGGTCTGATCTCACCTGGATTCACGCTGTGTCCAGTTCTGGGCACCACAGTTTAAAAAGAATATTGACAAATGATAAAAGGTTTAGAAGCCAATTCCTATGAGGAGCAGTTGAGGGAGCTAGGTATATTCCAGTTGGAGGAAAGATGGTTGAGAGGGGGACATGACAGTCATGTTTAAATATTTGAAAAGTTGTCACACTCAGGAAGGGACAAACTTATTTTTGGTTGCTCTACAGACTAGGACACAAAGCAATGGATTCAAATTGCAAGAAAAGAGATTCCACCTAATCATTAGGAAAAACCTGATGCATGCTAAAAGCTGTTTGATAGTGGAATATGCTGCCCAGTTGAGCACAGACTAGAAGTCAGCCAACTGGGGAGAGGTTAACTGGGAAAAGGAATGAGGTGTAAAGAATAAATGTAGACAACAGTAAAACTTCAAAACTATTAATCTTCAAACCTATGAACATGAATGGGATCACCACAAGCTGAAAGGCATCTTAAAGTTGTGTGTATGTGCATGTGCATGCGTGCGCGTGCACACACACACACTGATAATAGGGAAAACTAGGCAAGTCAGGAGAGAATGCTCCTGGAACATGGCCATTCAGCCTGAAAAACTCACAGCAGCCCACTAACCAAGTCAGTTAATTCCAGAACTTAACAATGGTTGCAAACAGAATGAATACGAAAATAAATGAGAACTCACAAATTAAGATGGTGATGACATTTAGTAAAGCCAAGCAAATCACCACAGCATATAACTTCCTCTCTCTGGGTTTTCGTCTTCTTGCTAAGAGAATGAGAAAGAAATGCACACTGAATACAGATTCCTAAGGCAAAGTGCATAACTATTATAAGTCACTGCATATTATATCATGATCAACTGGAGGTATAGCCAAAAGCATGTGACATGTAGAACCTTCAGAATCTGAAAACAAGTACTATATATATATATATATATATATATATATATATATATATATAGACATGATGAATCATAGAAAAATGCAGCATTGTATGACTTTGGGTTTATACCATAGTAGGCCACATGCACTGGGTTTCTAGCACACTGGGCAAAGTGCAGTTCTCCAAACATTCTTGGACTGCAACTCCTGGGATTCCTTACCATTAGATAGCTTAGCTGGGACTTATAGGAGTTGCAGACTATCATTTGCAAGGCTGGATTTTGCACACCCCTAGTTTGGACAACATACTATTGGCTGTGCATATACATACATTCACAGGACCACATATCATATCTAAAAATGATTGTCACCACAATGTTAACCAAATAAAAGCATGAAAACATCAGAAAACTGAAGGACAGACAAAATTCTAGTCTTAAAACACATTGATATTAGATAATTATAAGAACTATACCTCAATAACAGCTCATGGGAATCAACAAATTATTTTGAGTCTACTTCCAATACAATGTGGCAGAATCATTTGGGGGACGATCCCTCATACAAATTACCCGCCTTAATTTGAAATGGGCAATATTGTTGTTGTTTTTATTATTATTATTAATCTTTATTTGTACCCCGCCGCTATCTCCCCTCAGGGAATCGGGGCGGCTAACACCAGCACTGGCGCCAATTAGGCTTCGGGGGGAAGGGACACCTAGTTCGGGTGTATAAATAAAGTCATCAGAAGGATGCATGTATCCATTTTGTCTCTTTCTGGTAAAATATGTGTTTCTGCTTATATGCATTACATCTGTGATAAGAGATCATCTTGCTATGGTGTTTAGGTCATGCAAAATGCTGGTTTCTCCCAATGAAGAATGCAGGTTTTGCCCTTGTTGTCCATCATCATCAGACAATACTACCTTGTGCCAAGTGATCCAGAAAATGACGTGATGTTACTTCTGGATTTCACTTTTCAACAACAGCAACAAAACAACAGCACCTTTATCCATTGAAAAAAAATGTTTGGAAGAAATGTGGGAGAAACAACTGGCACATTTCTCAGCTGTTTTGCAACAGTTTTGCAACAATGTATCGTCAGAGGCTTTCATGGCTGGAATCACTGGGTTGTAGGTTTTTTGGTTGTATGGCCATGTTCTAGAAGCATTCTCTCCTGACGTTTCGCCTGCATCTGGTTCAAGCATCCTCAGAGGTTGTGAGGTTCACAACCTCTGAGGATACTTGCCACAGATGCAGGTGAAATGTCAGGAGGGAATGCTTCTAGGACATGGCCATACAACCCGAAAAACCTACAACAACCCAGTTTTGCAACAGTTTCTGTAACTTGAGAAATTTTCCTCTATTTCTGAATGGGATAAATGGGAACTTTTGGGGTGTGACGGGGATGCAAAAAAGAGCTAAGTGCTAATGGAGCCCACAGACCACATTTACCTTCTCTGCACACCATAAAGATCATTTTGCTTATTTTACCTGTTTAAAGAAAAGCATTAATATTCAGCCCAATTTCAATCCTCTTTTCTCATCAAACGGAAATGGTAGCCTTCATGTTACCTGAGCGCTTGCTTATGAATACAATTTCCTCTGAAGTATTTGGTCCATTTCCACAATTTCCATTCATCTTGTCTGTAATGTGTATTACATTTCCATGATTTTCATTGTAAAATGCCATGATGTTTGTTTCAGTCTCTATGGGATTCTTACAATCAACCATTCTTTTCTTCCCAGCTGATTACTTTTTACATTTTAAGAAATGCATAGTCAATGTGACCCTTGCAAAATAACAATGTCTGTTCATGTATATGTAATTTAACAGCAATAATACTACACATCTGCATACCCCCATCCCAGGTTTCATGTTTCTTTCACATTACATTTGAGGAGACACCTAAGACTTAAGGAAATGTGATTAGCATATCAAATTGAGACAATGACAATGCCTAAGTTCCCATTCCCTCTTTCTAAGCTGAAAGTCAATCCAAACTCTTTTTGAGTACAAGCTGACTTGGGATCTTCTCACACCATATGGTTATAACACTATGATTCTAGTTTAACTGCCATAGTAATATCCTATAGAACCCTGGGTCTTATCTCTGCCTAAGAATGGCAAATCCTAGAATTCCAAAGAATGTTGCCATGGCAGTAAAATGGAATCATATCGCTAAAACTGTGTAATGTGGAAGGCCCCTAATCTATACAGGTGTTGCCACATGGAAACATACTTTCTGGATTTCTGCTTGAGAAAGCAGAAAGGACTACCTTCTTTTAATTCCTCTCCCCCGCTCCCACTCAACCACTATTTTACCCATGATGGGAGAATGTGTGTGTGGAACAAATATGGAAAGCTCAACTTTAGAGACCACAATACTTAGAAGCCCCCAATCAACATGGTCACTAGTTCAAATACAAGGGATATCCGGAAAGTAAGGTAACAAGAGGTTTTTTTTTAAATACAAAGAATGAATATATTTTAATAAAACTTACATGGATTATAGCATAGGTATTATATTATTTTTCCACATAATCACCATTCCGTTTAATACATTTTGTCATCCATGGGACAGCTTTTTTAATGCCGGTGTCACAGATGTCTCCCACCCCCTTTTCCGCCAGTTCGTTCCTTTGAGGAACCGTCAGATCCCGTCTGCAGGAACTGGCGGTGGTGGAAGAGGACGACAAGCAGGAGGAAGCAGAAGCAACAGAGCCAGAGCTGAGAGTGGGCAGTGGAGGTGAGGCTGCCTCTTGGTTGGAGGGGCTCCCTGAGCTGCTGAGTGCCCCAACAAGCTGTGCCATGACCGAGCACACCCAGCCCAATATGCTGCTACTGAAGCAAGGAGGACGAGGAAGAGGAGGAGTAAGGCAACAGGGAGGAAGAGGAGGAACTGCTGCTTTAGGGAACCACCAAGTAGCTTCTGCCACCACCTCCTCCTCCTCTTTCCTCCTCCTCTCCTCCCTCCTTCCCTGGTGGCATGATTTTTCTCACTGATTGCTGAGTTTTGAATCCTGCTAACTTGGCACCTGGCATGAAAAGGAATGAGGGCGCTCATCTCTAACCTTCACAATGCCAGTCGATGAGTTTCTGATGACTGGCACTGCTCATTCACTTCAGCTGGCTTCCCACTACATGGCAGTAATACCAACTTCCC